GAATAAAATATTTGAAATCTTAAAAATCTTTTCGAAAAGTCATGTCAACATAATTGTTAAATATATTTTATCTATATTATCTATCTATAAAACTCATATTTTATGGTCACAACCAAAAATTCGTATTTATTTAATAATGAATGTAATTTTAAAAATTAATTTTTATATTTCGAATTGTTCAACTTAATTCACTATTTTCTTGTCTCATATTTATCTAACTGCAAAATCTTTTAATGTTTAGAAAGAATATCATATTATGTGATTCTTGGTAACTATTTTTTCATACACATTAATTTTTCATCTCATTTCGAAATTATAAATTTTAATCAGAGGCGGATTTAAGTGTTCATTAGGGAGTTTTATTGTCCCCTCCAAATTTTTAATTTTTTTTTTTATATACATGCATTTTGCCAAAATTTTACTCTTTTTTCACCTTGTACAATATATACTATATATTTTATACGCATATTCAATTTATACATATACCCCATAATCATCACTATTTATTAAAATGGTCTATGTATTAAAATTTTAACCATATTATATTTTGTAAATAATTTTTCACAATCTTTTAATATTATATTCGTGTTTTTATTTTATAATCTAGTGATGAATTAAACTGAATGTACAAAATATATGTGAAAAGTTGCAAATGAATAATTTTAAATAGAGTTAAAAAGGCATTGCAAAATTTATTAGTATAGAGTCAATTGTTGATGAGTCACTTGGTTTGAAATAATGTCGAACACAATTTTAAAATACAAAACTTCAAAAGTTATGCCTATTGTAAAATATTTTTTATAATTTATGGTATCGGATTTAGAATGTAACTTTATGCCTTATAAGTATATAAAATGTGATATTATTAAATATTGTATATTCCTTCTAGGTGTTATTAGTGTCGAGTTGAATACCTTATAATGAAGCTCATGCTTGTTTAATAAATGTGTTGAATATTTGGCTTGACTCGTTATATATATAAGCGAAAAAAAATTGAGCTTGAGCTCGATTCATTTAATAATCAAATTCAATTGGTTGCTCGAGTTTTCACGGTCAATTCGAGTTATATTATATCATTTCAAATTAATTCTAGTCTTGTCTAAAAAGAATTTTTTGATCCGCCCCTAATTTTAATGCGAATATTAAATATTTCATATTTATTAACTATACATATATACATATATATATATTAAAAGAATGACGATTCAAATAAATAATATATAATTTTTCATATTTTAAATTTCTTTCTTATAATAATGAGATGTTAAATATAAATAATTATGTTTAATATAAAATTTTAAAAAATATTCCCTCCATTTTGAAATATAAGGCATTTAAGGTTATTGGACAAATATTAAGGAGACATTAATTAATGAATAAATTGACTAAATCAATCTTATTTACTCTAATCACAACCACTCCAGACTTCCTTAATTTCAACACAATGAGGGTATATTTAGAAAAAAATGCAAAAATTTGTCTTGATTTTTGAGCGCCCCTTATATTTCAAAAAAATTGAGAAATCTTTATACGCCTTATATTTCAAAATGGAGGGAGTAATTAAGTAACAAGCGCACTAATAACTATACTACATAACTAGTACGTGGCCCGTGCGATGCACGGAAAAATAATATTTTGATTGCATTATAAATTAAATAAATAAATAACATTAATCATGATTTACCCATTATTTATAAATTAAACCGGGTTGGACACAGTCCGACCGGATGGACCGAGAACCTGTTTATAACCGATTTAGTGCGCTTGAATAAAATATTTGCTATCGAATCCGCCAACACCAGTATGTTGGACTGGTAAGATCGATACGATTTTCTAAACAAATTTTGTTACATGAAAAATTATTTTAAATAAAATTACATATTTAAATAAAATAGAGATTTATAAATTGTTTATCAATTAGTCTAAACATTTGAATTTATAAATTGTTTAGATATTTAAGTAACACTTTCTATTTCAATTTATTACAAAAAGTACTATATATATACATATATTAAAGTATTATGTATTAAAATCTGAACAACCACAAGACGGTGCGATTCTGAAAACCTTACATTTACCGTACATTAATAAAAATGATAATGAAATAAATATTTTGTTCACATAAATAATAATAAAATGATATATAAATGTTCATAAATCATTAATCATGTTGTCATAAAAGTATTGTTAATATGATTATTTGAAGTTTGGATGACATCACATTCACGTAATAAAGTATTTTTAATATTAAAATTTATATTTAGCTTCAATAATCAATTTGGTCTGGTCAAACTGATACATAACTTAATTACCTCGGACCAACCAAGTTATGTCAAGTTTTTTGACTATTTTAAATATCACCTAAAAGTAATTCAATCAAAGTGGGCAGTACCCTAATTCAATCACCCGATTGATCCAAAGTAATTTCCTTATTTTCTTTAAATATAATATTTAATTTTATGAAATAAAAATATTCTATGATTCATATGTCTACACCAAATGATAGTATATTAAGATTATAAATTATATATCCAAAGATGAACTATTTATTTTTATTTTATGCATATTAATAAAAAATAAACATAGTAATTTTAAAAAAAATTAAGATTAATTGATTGGGTATGCAATTTAAAAAATATTTTTAGCGTCCAATATATATATATATATATTTAACGTGATTGAATTTTTGGATTAGAATATATATATTTAAAATAATTTTATTATTAAAAGTCAAAAAGAAAAGATGCCATAAAGATTACAACTTTGAAAAGTTTGTAACCATTAATTTATGAATCCTCCAATTTTAAATGACTTATAATTTTCGAAACATGATACGTGCATTTAAAACCCATTAATTTAGGAACCATCCAATTTTTTGATAATGAATTAAAATTAAAATGTAAAATGTAAAAGTTGCTGAAAATAGTATATAATAAATGTGGTTGACTTTTCCTTACTACTATTTATGGTAAATGTTAATTCTTATTATATATATATAGATATAGATCTATCATTATATTAAAAGATTAGCCATTTAACACTTTTAGCAAGTTTTTCCCGCCAAATACATTTAATGTCTCCTAAAAATAGAGCAGCATTAAATCTTTCCCTTAAATGGTAAACAAATATTACTTTTTTATGATTGATTTAAATTTACGTCTGTTTAAAAGTAAAAAATTACTTTTGTAATTTCAACATATTTGTACTCTTTAATGTACGGCTGATTTAAAATTAAGAATTTACTTTTGTATTTTCACAAAAAATTGTATAAAGAATTATGGCTGGAATAACAATAAAAAATTAATTTGTTAAACCATATTTTGCACTCATAGATACGAATTCTCATCAAATTCAAGATTTAAAATTGTGAAGAATGTATATAGATGTGGACTGATTGAAGATATATGATTCCTTAAATTAAGGAATTTTTTCCGGTAAAAAAAAATACATAAACTTTAAATATAGATTTTATTAGTAGTGTATACCAAAGAATATTGTTACATTTAAAATTCATATGAAGAAGAATTCTATTAATTTTCAAATTCAACATCTCATAAAAATAATATAATACACTTTTACATTCTATGAAACAATATTTAAAACCCACCGTTCAACATGCATAAAATGTAAAATTACCTAACATGAATCATTTTAACTTTCTAAAATCAGTACACAATATGCTTGGTATGTACTAATAGTCTAATAGTTAAGAGTTAATATTTGCTATGACATCTATTGGTTGGAAAGAATTCCATTTCGTATGGAATTCGAAATAAAAAAATATATTCTGAAAATCAAATCTGATTTAGAGATCGATTTCTTAATGGCCTTAAATTATGCAAATATATTGTTTCAGTTTTTAGGATTCTTTTTTATGATCTCAGTCTTTGCATTATATGAAATCTATACTTATATAAAAAGCCATCCTATCTACTAGAAATAGTAGGTAGAAAAGTCAAAGGTAATTAATGCTTGCTGGAAATAGAATGATATTAATTACAAATTTGTTTTGGTATTTATAGGCTTGACATTAAAGATTTGTTATGGGATAAAAATCAGAACCGATTTTTTTACCTTTGCTGGAAAAGTCAAAGTAAGTATAGATTTGTTTTATCCCATAACATCGGTTTAATTAAGAAAATTCCATCAAATCAGTTTTATATGTCAAGCCTATGAATAAAGATTTAATGGGTCAAAATTAAATCCTTATTTTACGTCACCCATAAATAAAGTAGATGTCAAGCCTAAATTGAAGGGTTTAGTTGTCTATATAGCCATTGATTTAAGTAAACACATCTAATGTTTAAAGTTTGTGTAGATTGAAAATTCCTTCTTATCTTTTTACCAAAAATCTTATTATTATTGTATGGAAAATCAAACTCATAATGTTGTGTACAAGGAGGTCTTTAATAATATATGATTGTTTGTTTGTCGAATACTATCTTATTGTACAATTTTCCTGCGTATTATAAAACTTTGATTGAATATTGCATCTTATAATATAGTATTCCTCAAATAAATATATCTTGTGTCTCGCACGGGTCACGTACTATATATATCCCGTACATTTTTCTGTATTCATGCATATAATTATAAGTCTGGATAAATAGCGTTAAAATTGTGCACCCCGTGTATCGCACGGGGCTTTGTACTAGTTATTATTTACGTGGGAGTAGTATAATCTCTAGCGAAATGGATGAAATTTAGGTTGACTCCTACGTCTTGTATTTTCCTAGTTCCAAGGCATTTGTTGTGTCAATAATAAATGAATTGCAAAAACAATGTATTGACTATTGAAATTTTATTGAATTCCACTATTTTTAATCCAAAAAATCAGGGGTGAAAAACTGAATAGTAACAATAAGAAATGTGAAAAATCTACTCAAGGACCCATTCAAATTCAATTTTGATTCATTTTTTTTTAACAGAAAAATACACTGAATAACAAAATAAAAAGCAAAAAAAAAGTGGTGGTGAAAATTGAGAAACACATGTATGACTTTTAAAGAAAACATGATGTTCGAGACTCAAAGTCAGTAGTACTAATAAACCACTGATTAAAATACAGAGACCATTTTTTTTTTTTATTATTATCTCTCTCTTATTTTTCTTCCCTACCTCCTCTGGTTATTCGTCTTCCCTTCATGGTGTCTCATTGATCGATGAATTGAAAATGCAGAAGCCCTAGATTTTTGAAAGCAAACAAACAAACAAACGGGTTGTTAAAAAATCGTGTTTGGGGGCTTCCAGTTTTCTTTAAGAATTATGGAAAAAACTTAAGAGCTGATTTATTATACTTGTTCTTATTTCTTTTTTCTCTGCAATGTCTTAAGAGTGGTGTATACTTTGACATTGTTGATTTTGATTCTTTATAACTGTGACTAGTGCTTATTTTTGCTGTGATTTTCTGAATCAATGGCTAGGCGCCATGGATGGCAACTTCCTGCTCACTCATTTCAGGTCAGATTCTATTTTCTCCTCTTTTATCATTTTTCTTTTCTTTTATTACAGTGTGATTGGTTGAATTCTCTGAATGCAGGTAATTTTGGTTTGATTTTGACTCTTGAAATATGGGTTTTTGTTGGCTAGGGATTTTGATTTTGTGTGTACACCATATATATAATATTGTTAATTTTGATAGTTGTCCTTTGGTGCAATTACCAATCTATGAGATGTGAACTTCAAGTCAGAGGATGCAAGGGAATCACATATGTTATATATAATGCGTGTTCAGAGTATGGTGGAAAACAATTTTGTTGGGATGACTTTAGTTTGTTGGACCTGTTTGATAAATGACTTCAATTAGAACCAGGTCACATGGTTTTCAACAATGCTTTCTTTCTTTCTTTCTTCTCATTTTTTTTTCTTTTTTTTTTTTTTGGGAGAAATCTTAAATTTTAAGATCTTTGGAGTTGTTGGATCTTCAATCCTCATTGTTTCTCTCTGATGCTTTGTCACTATTAAAGTGTAAATATGATATTTGGATTTTGTAGGTGGAGATATTCTGTCACAGTTGAAGTTTGCTATAATTACTCCATAGGAGCTTAATGTCTGTTGTGTTATGTAAATTGAGATAATAATGCTTAGAAAGAAATACAACCTTCCAATTTAGCTGAGTTGTCAGTTTAAATTCACCACTCTATTTGCATAACTTTCATGGTTAGTGAGCTTATTCTCCTACTACTGATAATATTTGTTATATTCATCAAAGTTGTCACTTTAGGGGTATACTAAAATGCTAGGTTCTTTCTAATAATGTTCACAGTTTTGCTACTAATCCAGATGCTAAACAAACTACTTCATCACCCTTGCAGGTTGTTGCTATAACAGTTTTTTGCCTACTATCCGTTGCTTTCTATGTATTTTTTGCTCCTTTTCTTGGAAAGGGCATCTATGAATACTTGGCCACGGGCATTTATTCCTTCCTGGTATGTGCAATTAATTTCACGTAACTGTTAAAATGATAGTTCTTTTTTTTTTGGTTAATCTTAAGGAATTTTTGCTTCTTATCATGATAACATATTAACTCCAGGCGCTCTCAGTATTGATACTTTATGTTCGGTGCACGGCTATTGATCCTGCTGATCCTGGGATTCTTATTGAAGCTGAAAAGACATCACCTCATACGTCACATGTTGGGACAGATTTTCCTGGTAAGTTATAAGTAAGAGGAAGGTGATTAGTGTCTTGTGAAACATGTATCCTTAATAATATTGATGTGCGATTTGTTAATAACACGGAGTTGTAAGCACGATATCTATTGCACGGTCATTTGAACACTTTAAGTTGAACAATTTTGTTTGTGTGTGTGCTTTTTTTCTTTTGGTTTTATTTACATATATACGTACATACTGAATTCTAACTATCTTGTCGGTCTTTAATAGGGAATTTATCTATGAATGAGGAGCCTACTACAAAAGTAGGATTGAAGAATGGAGGCAAACCTTACAGTCATGATACAGGTTGGTGCTCGAAAATCGCAGGTTGCCTGTGCTGTTTTATTGTGAAGGAGGATTGTCGAAAGAATGAAGAAACTCCACAGGAACCAAATGGCGAAGAGGAAGCTTTGTTCTGCACGTTGTGTAATGCTGAGGTATAGCATTTCATATATTTGTCATCTCTTTTCTTAGGGGATGCATGTAAAAAATATAATAACAGTAGCATTTTTATTTGTTAGCTGGGAGAGCTCCTTGGTAGAAATTTTGTTTGTGAGCTTCCATGCATCAATTTTCATTTCATTGTGAGGTCTATAAGCAATTTGGGTGACTTGAAGAAAGAGAAAGTAATGGAGCTGCATCCAGAGCTTTTGACTTCATGGATGATGAAATGCTAATGAACCATTTTCTTACTTTCTTAGAGTTCATGAAATAAGTACTCTGAGGTTTACTAGAACTAGGTAGGGTTCAAATTTCAGTTGAGGTACAATGAAAGGCAAGCGGGATTCGAGTAGTTCTCATGCATGCGGATCATCTAAATGCTGCAAAACACTATTTTGAGCTTTCCTTGAAAGTTCAAATGCAACCATGTTATTGTTCCTACTTCTAATTCGTTTATTCCTTCATTAAGAAAACTAATTATATTTAAAAAAAACCTAGACCTCATGTTTCTTGGCATCTCTTCCATAGGTGCGCAAGTTCAGTAAACATTGCAGAAGCTGTGACAAATGTGTTGACGGATTCGATCATCATTGCCGGGTGAGTTCGAGTTTGAGCTTGAAAATACAGATTTGGGATTTTTATCATGATTTGCAATCTTCCTGTTGCAAACACATGTATTTTTTATCTGCAACATTTCTTTCAAGTTTTTTACAATTTTTCCCTCTAATGGATGTGGCTTTTAACTGGATATGATGGTGTAGTATAATCCATGTAGCTGACCCCATGTAGTGGAAACAAAGTCTGTATGTTATTCTTAATGCAGAATAGACAACTTATCTGTTTTCGCAAACATCGTGGATGACTTGTGACTAATCCTAGTTTGATGATCCTTTGCAGTGGCTGAATAACTGTGTGGGCAGAAAAAACTATATCACATTTATATGCTTAATGGCTGCAAGCCTTCTCTGGGTATAATCTGTACTTAGATCTTGTTTAGCCAATTATCATTTATTTACCTTCTCTTACAATTATGTCTTTTCTCTTTATCTACCAGATCTTTGAACTTATTCAATTGTGGTTTTAATCAATTTTGTTTTTTTTTTTTTCAGCTTGTATTTGAATGCGCTGTGGGCATTCTTGTCCTTGTTCGGTGTTTTGTGGAAAGAAAAGCTACTGAGAATGATATTACTAACAGGCTTGGAGATGGGTTTTCTCGCCCGCCTTTTGCTACTGTGGTGGTATATTATTTTACTCTTTGCTCATGCTTAACCATATGCCTTTCTTTACATTTCCCGATAGAAGCTTTCTAGGGCCAAGTACTGTTTGTACCTACTTGTGGAGAGGTACCTGGTTTTATGGTTCGACAATAATATAAAAGCGCTTGTTCATCCAATAATACAACAATACAGACCACTATCCATTGTTGAAATAACAGTCTCAAGCACGAAACGAAATTACAATCGTCCAATAAACTAATATTTCTAATATATATTTGTTTCTATAAAAATAATACACACATTTTCAAAAAGTAAAAAAAAAAAAAATGTTATGCTGGTTAGTATATTGAGTTTTTCTATATAACAGAAAAGAAGCAACCAATTTGTATTGCCAAAAGCTATGGTAACAAATGAAAGATTTTACTTGATTGCATAGCATTTTAGAAATATTTATTTAATGAAAATTAGGAATTAAGAAATAAATGTGTAGTTAAATCAACTAACATAACTAAATAGATACATTGTACTTGACATATAAATAGTGTTTTCCGCAATAAATAAATAAATCAACTTTTTAATAATAATAATAATAATAATAGAAAGTCCAACTGTGCTATACCCATGAGATGCAGTAAGGTTGGAGCATGTGATGTTGAATCTTGGATAAATTGTGTGCTTAGCTTCTAAATTGCGCTCGCCAACTGGAAATTGTTTTCCTAACGTGCAAATAATATTTGGCTTTCTTCTGTTTTCAGGCTGTGTGCACTGCTGTTTCTCTTCTAGCAACTGTGCCTTTGGGAGAATTGTTCTTTTTCCATATCATTCTTATCCGCAAGGTGCGACTTTGGATCCTTACTATTGCCTTCTCTTTTCTTCTGTCTGCATGGACAGGCCTTCTGTGTGTTCTTTGCATGTGTTTGTGATTGTAAAATACAATCTAATGTGCTATATAACAAGGAAAGGACCATTTGTAATTTCCAAACAAAAATGTCTGTTCTTTCCCCTCATTTTTTATAATTAAGCTACACTTGTGTGATTCTATTTTAGTTATAAAAATTTGCACCCCTTATGTATAGGGTATAACAACATACGAATATGTTGTTGCTATGAGAACACAAAGTGAGGCGCCTGGACCTTCGGTAGACGCTGGAGACCAACAAAGTTTGCCCTCTTCACCCACAAGTTCGGCTGTCACTGCCATTAGTGGGAGAAGCTCTCTTGGAAAGGGCTTACAATATAAAGGTGCTTGGTGTACTCCACCTCGCATCTTTATGGATCATCAGGTAGTATTCACTCTTACATTCTTCTACTCATTTTTGTATATATAATTACTAGTGCAATAACCGTGTATTACACGGGTGTTGAGTTAAGAAATATATGATAAAAGTTATTGTTAAAATAAATTTTTTATTTAAAAAATTTGATGGATTAATTGATGAAAAAAAAAAAAGAGGAATTGACAGTGCAAAAGAAAAACTGATTTGTAAATCCTAATTTAGGAGGTAAATATGGGAGAAAATTATAATATGGTAAGATTGCTACTTGCCCAAACTAAGAAGGAAATGTGTATTAAGAGAAAAAAATAACAAAATTAAATATACACTTACTAAGTTTGAAAAAGGTTATTTATGTCTATACCAAGCCTGATTTCAAAGCAAAAAATCAATATACAAACATTTCGAAGCATAATTTTTTGCCATGTCAGCATCCGAAGCGTGAGAATCTGCCACTTCGACTCAACATGTTTTAAATTTATATATACGGAGGGATATGTACTTCAATTTAAGCTCATTGGACTTGTAATCTCAGGACGAGATCATTCCTCACCTAGAGCCCGGACGGGCCCCATCCACAGTCGACCCAGACGCCCCACAGCCCGACAAGGGCAAACGAGCAGCCCAACGCCCGATCCGAATCAGCGCATGGAAGCTTGCCAAGCTGGACTCCACCGAGGCCCACAAGGCCGGCGCCAAGGCCCGGGCCTCGTCCTCCATCCTCCGGCCCGTGGGCTCCAGGCCCAACAACCCCCACGACCCGGACTACTTATCCAGCACCACCATGAGCATCAGGAGCAGCAGTCCCGTCAGCGGCCGGCACGCATATTACGAAACTACCCCGAAGGCCGGCACGGGAAAGAGCTCGTATCCGCCGAGCCGGGCCAGCGCCGACATGTGGGCCCGCAGCCTCAGCAACCTGAGCAGCCCGCTCGCGGTGAATCTCAGCCCGTCTAATGCGGACTCGATGTACGTGTCGCCGACCATGAATTCGCCCGGGACCAGCGGCCCAAAGGAGGTGCCGGGCCTGGAAAGCGGCCCGAATAAGAGTAATACGGGCCCGGGGGAGAATGGGAAATCGTCGGTGTATTGGGATGCGGAGGCCGGGAGGTTTGTGTCGGCGGCCGCGAGGAGCGTGGGCTCGTCGTCGTCTTTGGGGACGGAGCTGACGTATACGGGGCAGTCGATTTTCTTTGGGGGCCCGCTTGTGAGGGGGGAGCAGAGGGGGGCCTCGTCGAGTTATTATCAGCAGGGGAGATCGCAGCGTGGAGGTCAGCTTCCTGTTTATGTTCCCAGCGAGTCTCACCAACAAAACCAGTTTTCTTCTCGATTAGAATGAACCTTTGATTTATTAGTGTTTCTTTTTTGTTTTTTTCTTCCGTTTTTTTAGGATATTGCGTTTTTCTTTTGAGAATAGATTAGCTTTCATTTGTACGGAGTACTTTTGATTTATTTGTTTTCTGGTCGTAATCTAATCTTGTTTTTACATTTAGTCCCTCACCTTATTTTTGGCATCTAATTCGGTCATTGTTGGTGGGATTAGTGTGTTAGTTGCATGAGCAAAATTGTATGATATAATATAAACAAATTAATGGAGTCTTGTGCTGATTAGAGGTGACCAAAATACGGGCCCAGCCCGACGGGCCAATGGGCTTGGAATCATGGATTCAGAACCGGCACGGACCTAGGCTTGTGCCAGGTCCATCTCCTGGTGGGCTGGGTCGGGCACGTCCAAATATAAACATAAAAACACAAATAAAATGTGGTTTTTACCGATCTGACCCAGCCCGCCGGGCCAAGGTCCAAGGTCCAAAAAACAAGCCAGGATTGGCTTGGTTAAAATTTGAGTCGGGCTTGGACCCGTGGTCAACAGGCTTGACCGGGTCGACGTGGCCATGTTTAGTGCTGTTGGATAGCTCTATCAGTTGAAATAAAAGTGATATATAAAAAAAGAATTAAATACGTATAAATTCTCAATATTATAATAAAATTTAAGATGAGTTACCAAGCTACTCGCTATGTAAAAAGTTATATTTAGAGACCAACTCCCGCACTATAAAAAATGTAAAAAGAAAATATTTTCTAGAAAAAAAATTGTCACCTTTACAGATTGTGTTTTTGTTTACGAACATGTTATATAACATTAAATTATATTATATTAGTGATGCAAGAGAAAGTGCAGAAGTTAAAAGGGCATGTGTAGTCGTGGCCAACTCATGATCTGTTACCATAGTTAGTTCTCAATACATCATCATTCTTTACACAACTTACATAATGCATATACGACTACAGAGTTGTCATCATCTCATTGATGATAAGCTTGCAAAGGACGCATAATTTACTTGAGTTAAATTTTTAAAATCGCGCCACACACATAAGACAAACTACATGCTAATATGTTGCATGCTGATGTGGAAATGGATTTGGCTCCATGCATGGTGGTCCTATGCAGTCCTTGCTGCTGGAGGTGATCGTGTTTAACACCTCTTCTCAATTAAAACTTAGGTAGACTAATCACTCTCAACTTCTCTTTCAACCAAGTGAAAAATTGTTGACTCAAGCTTTTTGTCATAATATCGGCTATCTGATCAATGTTTGGGACATGTCACAGTTGTATAACACTTGCAACAACCCTTTCTCTAACAAAATGCATGTCCAATTCAACGCGCTTTGCTCTATAATGCAGAACAGGATTTGAAGCAAGTGTTATTGTTCTTAAAATATCAAACCAAATTGTGCTGAACTTAGAATAAGGAAGTCCCAACTCAGAAAGTAAAGATTGTATCCATGTTATCTCTGCAACAAGATGAGCTAAAATATTATATTCAGATTTTGTAGTTGATCTTGAAACCCCTGCTTGTTTCTTTGATTTCCAAAATATAAGATTATTTCCAAAATAAACACAAACGGTAGAGACTCATTTTCTATCATCTATGTCTGTAGCCTAATTAGTATCTGAGAAACCAACAATGTGGTTGTTTAGAGATTTTGTGATATATAATCTATCATTGCTACTCCCAGCTAAATACCTTAGAATCCTCCAGTGTGGTTCTATTGGAGAATAAATAAATTGACTTACTTTATTTACCCTACATGCAATATCAGGATTTGTAATTGTGATATACTGTAATTGACCAACTATGCTTCTGTAAAATGTGGGATTTAATATAGGATCACCATCATGCTTTGATAAATGTAAGGAGTTGATCGTAGGTGTAACTTTACTCTTGCAATTTTCCATGTTGGCCCTTTTCAGCAACGCATGCATGTAACTGGTTTGACTAAGGTGCAATCTTTGATCTGTCTGAATCACTTTTATTCCAACAAAATGATGAACTTGTCCTAAGTCTTTGAGTGATAACATCTTCTTTAAATAAGAAACAACATGTTTTAATGTCTTCAAACAATTTCTAGTCAAGACTATATCATCCACATACATGAGAAGATGGACACGTAGTTCACCATTTAGTTTGAAAGATAAGGAATTGTCTGTATAAATACCTTCTTCATCTTTTGGGACCATACCCTTGAAGCTTGTTTCATGCCATAAATAGCCTTTGTGAGTTTGCATACCAAGCCTCTCTCAGTTCTTTGTTCAAAACTCATTGGTTGTTTCATATATAAGTCTTCATCCAATATTCCATAAAGGAAGGCATTATTTATATCAAGATACCTTATCTGTTAACCATTTCAAACAACAATGCTTATCATGATCCTAATGATTGTTGGTTTTACATATGGACTGAAAGTCTCACAAAAGTCCAATCCCGCTGCTTATGAAAAAACTTGGGCTACTAACCTAGCCTTATACCTTGAAATGGTTCCATCAACATTCTTTTTTAGTTTGTAAACTCATTTACATACTATGAGATTCTTTCTATCTGATAGAGAAGTCAATGTCCAGGTTTTGTTGTTCATCAATGAATTGTACTCCTCATTCATAGCCTTTGTCTAGTTCAACACTATTCAATGCTTCTTGGACTGAAAGTGGCTTCATTTTTTCGAATAACAGAAGTTATAAGGACTTTTGTCTTGTATATACCAGCTCTTGCCTTAGTAATCATAGGATGTTTAACTCTCCTATCAGGAGTGCTTTGAGTTTCAATTTCACTTGAAGTTGGTGATGTGCTATCCAAGTTTGGCAACTGCACTATTGTAACGCCCCGTTTATTTTAATAAGAGCATAGCATTTGCATTTCATCGCTCGACTAAGTTTTATTTTCAGTTTTTAATTGGAATCCTTTAATCAAAATGGTATTAAGTAGATGCTCTCGTCTTTTTAATTTTCTTAATAATTTTATTTGATCAATAATCGAGATTTAAAAGGATGTCATCCTCATCTTAATTCTTCTTTTGTATTCTTGTATTAGCTAAGTTTTTTTTATGCATATATGTGTTTTGTGCCTAAGTCTTTTAATATTTGTTATGTGTTCAATTCTTTGCCTAAGTGTTATTTTTGCCTAAGTGTTTTTTTCCTAAGAAATCCTATAAGATTAGGCCATTTCACTTTTAAGCCAAGGCATTTCCAACTAAGAATTTTGAGCCTAAGTGTCTAAATTTCTTGCCTACATTATCCTAAGTGCTTGGTTGTTTGAATGCAAAGAACCAACACCAACTTTTGAATTTTTTTAACTCCCTAGCCAAGCAAGTTCTTAAACCTAAAAGACTAACTCATCAACTACCTACCAGCTAACCTCAGTTCTCAGCCTTCCATCTCCTCACTCCAAACCAAGCAGCTCCCTCACTCCCTCATTCAAACTCCTCAACAGTCGCATGCATAAGAGAGATCTTCCAACAAACTTCCTTGAAGATAGGCTACACAAAACCACACGGTTCTCCACCTCTATACACACTTACACCCTCCATTTAAACGCCTCCAAGCACTCATCCGTATCCCACTTTACATTTTACACCTTGCATAAGTTCACATAAAGCTCTCCAAAATTTGAAAAACCCGCACCAAAAAGTCCCCAGCCAAGCTCAACCAAGAAATCGAGACCAAAGTCGAACCACCTTCTTTTCCGTTTTATTTCCAGAGCAAGGTAAACATGGATGAGACCTTTACCCCTCTTTATAGCCGAGATCATATGGTTTTGTATGCTTAATTTTCAGTTTCAAAGTAGTTAAAAAGCATGCCAAGTTGTTGGTGTTTTGTGAAGGGAAAAGAGAGCTTGTTTATGTGATGTTTATGCCTTGTTTTAGTGATAAAAGGCTATTGGCATGAGTTTTATGCTTCCTAAGGGTGCTTAATTTCAGAGTTTATTGAACTAAACAAGAGTTTAAATGCATGCTTAAGAATTACTAAGCAAGTCTTTTTTTAAAAAAAAAAAAAGAATAAGAGGAAGTTTGTATGTGTTGTCATGACCTTGTTCTTTTATGTTGAACAAGTTTTGCCTGAGTTGCTGAATCTATTTTCTATTGTTTTTATTGCTGATTATTGTGTCAAATTTCAGAGTTTGAAATCTAGAAAGCATGCCTTAAGAGCTCTTTAAAAGTTAGGAAAAGAGAAGAGAAATAGAAAGCATGTTGCATATTGCTTTAGCCTTGTGTTGCCTTGAGCATAGCTAAGCCTTGTAGTGTTATTTTTGGGATGAAAATGTGTATCTTTCAGATCTTTTAAATCAGTTTGAGGCCTTCTTGAGTTTAAGAGAAATTATGAAAAAGAGAAGAGAAAGAAAAAGAGAGACTTTCATGTGTATTTGGCCTCGAATGATCTTGTGGTTGCTGAGCTTTTTCATACATGTTTCATGCTTTTATGTGATTAATACTAGAGTTTTTGAGTTCGGTTTGTGGCCTTTTGAGTTGTCTATGAGCTTGAGAAAAAGAAAGAAGAAAAAAGAGGGAGAGTTACATGTTGCTTTGGCTGTATTGTTGCTATATATGCTGAGTATTGTCATGCATTTTTATTGTTGTAAATGTATTAGTTTCATAGGTTAAGTTTCAGTTGTTATGGCCTTGGAAAGGTTTTGTTTGATTTTGAGAAAAGAGAAGAATTTTGTCATTTTTTTTTTTCTTATCAGTAAATGTGAATATAAAATCAAAACTGAGTTCGGACAACCGTTAGACGGCAAACAAAAACAGAATGGGCAACCACAAGCCGGCTCCTCATTTACAAGAAAAGATGAAAACGAGGGCAACCACAAGTAGCTTGCTCACTCGAAAGTCATAAAAAGAAATCGAAAAGTAAATGGGTCCCAAGGGATCTTGGCACCATGGAAGGCACGGTTGTCAAGCGTTGGCGCGTGCATGCCGGGACGTGGTCCGGGCCTCTCGCAAAAAAGATCGTGCTGGAAGTCGATGGTAGTAGCGCTAGGCTGGAGGGCTAGCGCCGCTAAGACTGACATGGCGTGGAGCGAAACTCCAAGACAAACGCGCTGGAAAGCGGGGTTAGTGCCGCTAGGCTATGGATCTAGCAGCGCTAAGGCTGACGTGGTGCGGACTGGGACACGACAAGCCAGCTAGGCGAAGCGGGCGCTAAAAGCCCACGCAACGCTAGATGAGCGGGGTTAGCGGCGCTAGGAACAGTAGAGCAGCTAAGGCAACCAGTGAATAAAGCCTCCTTCTGAACCGCGCTAACCCCCTTAGCGGCATGGTGAAACGGCGCTAAGACGACTCTTAGCGGTGCTAGCACCTGGGACCTGCTCCAATCCTCTCCGAGATCTCGCTACCCCTTCGCTAATGCACATACCGGCGTTATGAATCCCTCTAGCGGCGCTAGGCCCAATGTTAACGGTGCTAGCACTTGGGAAGAACCTGTCCGCAGAGACCTTTCCCCTCTCAAACAACCAATCTCCAAGGCCGTCCGAGCACCTCAAAACCTCAACAATCAAGCACAAAAAATGACTCTCAAAGCTCAAGACTCCTCCTCTCAAATTCAACAAGCACATTCGGATAAGTTGCAAAAATAGTTCGATAAACATGAGTTTTTACCTTGCGGATTACAAGGCTCGGGGCTTGGTATTCGTTCTCAAACACGAACCGATTCCTAGAATTCCAAATGAAGTACACGGTAGCTGCTAGCGCCGCTTTCTTCAACTTGGTTTGCCAACCACTCCATCGCGCCTCCTTCTTAATCCATTTGAGAGCTCCTTTGAGTGTGGACGGCCTATGCCGGAGGCTAACCCAAATACGAATCTCCCCCCAAATGTCCGAGCTAAAGGTAAATTCAAAGAATAAGTGGCTCAAAGATTCATTCGCAACTCCGCAAAGAGGGTAAATCGGATCTTCCTCAAGGAAATCAAGTCGATCTCTTGTCCGGAGCCGATTAAGCACCCCCAACCAAAGGATGAAGGAGTGCTTGGGGGTATTACACGGGCACCAAAAAACCCCATTCCACGACACCTTAGATCCCCTAGGTCTTAGGAAGTCGGAGCACTCGCTAGACCCATCTTGACCTTCTCGAGATTTTCACCCTTGATGAAGGGCTTCAGCACCACGCTCATTTTCTGCCTTTTCCACCAAGAATTGCCGGATCTCAAAGAGGGTTTTGAAGAGAGGTGAGTCCTTCGTTCTAGCTTCCCAATACCAGATGGAGTTCACTTTCAAATAGATATTGTGAATCCATTTGTGCCACAAGGTGTCCTTCTTTGCTTGCATGATCCAAAGCGTCCGGGTGAGCATCGCTTGGTTCCACGCATTCAAATCTCTAAGCCCCAAACCACCTTCCAAGCGCGATAAACATAAGCTATCCCAAGCCACGGGAGCGCTTTTCGATCCCCAAAGGAACCTTCTACGTAGTTGAGTGATTTTTGTTCGAATTATGCCAGGAAAGTGGAAGATCCCCATCCAAAAGCACACAATGCCTTGGATCACCGAGCGAAGGAGTTCCAATCTTCCGGCATAGAAAAGAGTATGCTCATTCCACCCATTAAGTTGCCCTTCTATTTGCTTAATCATATCATCGAAGACCCTACCGGTGATTCGGTCCACGGAGAGGGGAATACCGAGATACCGAAAGGGCATTGAGCCGCACCGCAAGTTGGTATTGTCGAGGATTGTAGCCCGACTATCGTCCTTGACCCCGACCAAGTAGATATTGGGCTTTAGCACATTCATCTCAAACCCCGACTTAGCTCCAAAATCCTTAAGATAATTTATGAGATTTTGAATTGATGGAGGGTCTCCACGAGAGAAAAGCATGAGGTCATCGGCGAAGGCAAGGTGCGAGATTTTTAATTGCTCGCACATCGGATGGTAGTTGAAGTTCATGCCGACTTCCGTGTTGCTCTTAATAAGCCGAGTAAGGTACTCCATACAAATCACAAAAAGGAAAGGTGATAGGGGGTCACCTTGCCTTAGACCTCGAGCTCCTTTGAAGTGGCCCTTGAGGCTCCCGTTGATAGATAGAGAGTAGGATAGAGTGGTGACGCATTCCATGACCCACCTCGTAAAGACCGGAGGGAAGCCGAGTCCATCGAGCACTTGCTTAAAAAGCGACCAAGAAAAGGAGTTGAATGCTTTGCGGAGGTCGATTTTGATGATACACTTGGGGAAACCCGTTTCCCCAAGTAGAGATGGAGCAATTGTTGCATGAGGTGTATGTTGTCTGTAATGCTCCTCCCTTTCACAAAAGCAGCTTGAGCCTCGTCAATGATGGAGTTGAGGACTTCGCTAACTCGCCTAGCTAGGATTTTGGAGCATATCTTATAAACTGTGCTGCAACACACAATTGACCGAGAGTCCGTAAATTGCGAGGAGTGGGAGGACTTCGTAAAAGGGTGAGGTCGTATGGTTCCATTTCTTGAGGAGCGAGTCGGAGTGGAAGAACTCTTGGATAACCGCCACCACATCGGCTCCAACGATGGACCAACTCTTCAGAAAGAAAGTAGAGTAGTCGTCCGGACCCGGGGACTTACCACCCTCAATGTCTCTAAGTGTGTTCTTGATCTCGTCCTCAGTGACCGGGGCAATAAGAGCCCTACAATCGTCAACTCCAACACACGGTCCCGATCGAAGAATTTGGGGATCAACATCCTCCGTTTCGACTTCAGTTCCCAAGAGAGCCTCATAGTTATGGACAAACTCTTTGGCAACTTCCTCCATGGATTCAGTAACGGTGCCATCTTCCCGGTTAATCGAGGCGATGAAATTCTGTTTGATCGCTTTTTGACTAAGCCATGGTAGAACTTGGTGCATTTATCACCCTTGACTTGAAAGTTTCATTTGGCCTTTTGTTGATAGAAGAGCTTCTCTGCTTTAGCCAAAATTAAGAGCTTCGAGTCTAAGCAAGGGCATCTTAGACTTAGTTTTGGGGTCGTCGGATGGATCATGAAGCACTTGTTGAGCAATCTTAAGGGCATTCTTCGCTTCTTAAGCCCGGGAGGAGATATGTGAGAAGGCCTCCTCATTAAGAGCCTTAAGCGAGCTCTTAAGTTTCTTCAAATTGGTCGAAGAACTGCCACGGTGACCCACTAGTGTTCCTTGCCTTAAAGATAGTAACTAAGCACGAAGAGTGATCGGAAATACCCGGAGCTAGAAAGGTCGCATTCGAAAATAGATCGACGTCCATTGAGTATCCACCATTGCCCTATCGAGCTTCGACTAAACATGGTTGTTGGTCCAAGTGTGGAAGAAACCGCTTGAGTGGATGTCCGACAATCCCAAGGTGTCACAAACTTCCAAGAGGTCCATGGTGTCCCGGTTAGTGACTCTCTCCCCTTTAATTCTCTCCTCCGGTTTAAGGTAGGAGTGGAAAGTCAACAGGCCAATTCACGGCCCGGCCCGGCCCGCTGGGTCAGCGGGTCTCAACTTCATGGCCCTTAACCGGCCCGGCATTTTCTAAGGGCCGCGGGTTTGGACCAGCCCTGAACCGCCAGGTCACGGACTCGCCGGTTTTTGGCCGGTTCCGAGAAGGTGCGGCCCGTTAAAAAAAGCACTACCACCCGTCTTCCAACACCGCGGCCTGGCCTGGCCCGACCCTGCTCGCCGGGACCAAAATAGAAAAACAATGAACCGGGACCGAACCGCGACCCTAACGGTCCGGTTCAACAAAAAGGGCCGGTTTGGGCCGGGCCAGGACCGGTTCACAGGTCGGTTCATGGGCCGGTTCGGCCCGTGAACATGTCTAGTTTAAGGATACCATTGAACT